CACACACAACAAAAGAAAAAAAAAAAAAATAAAAAAATCATTTTTCACAAAATCTATTCTTAAAAAATCTACATCAAATAGGCCTTAGTTAAGCCTTTTAAACTTAGCCACACATGATCTAGATAAACCCAGGGCATCATACATGGTTTTATAATTTTAGTTTCTGCACAAGCATGGACGAATCTGGGAGACCGTTGTATCGTATCCTGGATCTTATTTGTCCTCTCTTTAAATCATAAAACATCCACTTTCTGTTATTAATTTCCAGGAGCAGAAAATGTTCAAGCCGCTCAAAAATATATATCAGGCTTGGATGCAAGACGATTATCAAAGCTTCCTGAACACAGGTGAAGTGTTTTTTTTTTTTTTGGCCGGAATATTTTTTAGAAGCTTTATTTTGTTATTCTTCTGGCATGGCTGATCATTTTCTCTCTCCGCAAACTACAATTAAGTTTTTTCCAAGTAAATATTTAGTGCATCACTGTATGTGTACTTCTGCATATACATGTCTCTCTATGTACACACATTTACATTTGTGTACGTTATGTGTGAAGGGTTACTTGTTGAGGGAAGTTATTTACATTTTCCAGTTATTACCCATTATTTTATTTTCCATTCACCAGGAGTTATCTCAAACCTGTACAACATGATTCAATATGTACAATGTTTCTTTAAATTTTTGGCCTTTTAGGGAAAGTTCTAGAAAGGGGTGACAACATAGTGCATATCCATTAGCAATCTTTATCAGTGAAAGGAGCTTTATGTACTTCTCTTTTCCATTTTAAGCAAAGGCATTTTGACTTGATTGACCGTAGATTTGAAGTGACTGACCATTACCAAGACAGAAGATGTAGTTCTCACATATTCTGTTTCATGTAATTTGAGTTTTAATAAACAAGGGCCTTCTTTGCTTTATTGTGTAATGCTGTTTAATACTGGCTCTGTCGGTGCAGTGATGACAGTGAAGATGGTGAAGATGACTTGGTGACTGGCTGATAAACTGGTTGTGAGCTAATATATTTCAGTTCTTTTTATAATATCCCTTCAATATTGGGATCTTTAAGAGACTCAAAGTTCAACCAAAATTTCCGTTCCTTGTCAGTGTCAGAAGAAAGTACTACACATCTACACACACACACACACACACACACACGCACCTTATCCTCAATTGGTTCCTTTCTGTGTTGTATTTAGTCAAAATTTATTGCTGAGAATTATTTTGACCTTGTGGGAACTTTGAGGGAGCTCCCATTTTTGTACAAATTTTGTAGAATGATGAAATTTTTTACTGCTAATAAAAATTGTAATGTTTTGGATACCTGTTATTACATGTTGGGTTGGATAGGACAGAGAAAAACAACCCAAATCTTTGTTCATTATAATGTCCCGGCCTGTTCGGTGTTTTGAGACGAGATTTGTAAGATTCATGTTAGATCTGGCTGAAATAAACGAACGGCAAGTTTTCTTCCATTGTTGTAGAACTCAGATGGCACTGCCCTTTTAGTGCTATTTGTTGCAGGCAATTCTTAATTGGAGTAACGATAGCTATTATTAGTTGGCAGCAACGGATCAGGTTTAGGGACGGAACGGAATTGGATACTTTGCAGTAACTGAGGTCGACACATCTTCATCAGTGACCAATTTGTTAAGGGGTTTCCGAAAAATCATCAAACGAGACAGGCACTAACCAATATAGCGTTACATTAAACTCGAAGTGATATAACGTTCATTGCATGGTGAATATCGAAGTTCATCCACCATCAATGTCAAGCCTATCGAGCATAGAAGGGCGTATGTGTCGAATGCTGCTATGCGAGTTATTCAATTCACAACTCGAGTTCATGAGAGCATCTCCATTACTTCAATGGCTTGCTTAAAAATATTGCTACATAAGCAAAATGAAAAGTGTTAAAAAAATTCTTTAATCTAATGTAGCGAAGGAAAAAATAGTTATAATCTACAAGTCCGTCTAGATTTAAAAAATTCGTTGGACGTGCTGACTTAGAAAAAAAAAAATTATATTTTCTACTATAGAAAAGTTGAGTGTTGGATTTTTAAAAGGAAAAGTTCATTATGAAAGACACAAAAAAGAGGATCTATGTATATTCATATTAAAATAAATTAAATAACAGAGATAATTAGATAGATAATACAATTAATAAATACCCTTTTTTTCTTTTTAATTATGTTATACACTATTGAATCTAACTTGCTAAACCTAATGCTATTTTACAATATTTTACACATTCATTTTTCCATGGATGACTAATCCATGCATCACTATCACTTCATCAATGTGTTTACTCCATTTATATCTAGGGGTGTCAATAAGCCGAGTTCAGCCAGCTCGAGAACTGAAACTCCGACCTTGAGCTCAGCTCGACTCGAGTTTTTTTCTTAACCAAGCCGACGAGCTCGATTACCATCTCTATTTATATTAGAGGAGTGCTCGCTGCACATACATCGCCCCTTGCCCCCTCGCAATAGAGGGGCCCACCATTTTTTTAAATTTATGGTGGGCCCCCCACATGTGGGGGGCTGTGCTAGCCCAATTCTTTACATTATAATCTGCACAAATTTGAGAACTGTTTGAGGTGTAGGGTAGGGGTTTTTAAGTAGAATAATGCTATTCGCAGTCATTAACTATTGCAGTTGTTCTACGTGCATACATGTGACGATTAGTGATTTACTAAATGATGCAAGAAAAAACTAGCACATTAATATATTAAATCAATAACCATCATGTAGGATGCCATGTAGGAGTGGGCAACTATGAATAATATTACTCTGGTAAGAAAATGATAATCATAAACCTTTCCTATTGTAGAAGTGCCAAAATGTACTGAACACGTGTAAATTTAACAAAAAACGACAAGATACAATCAGTCTATCAAACATAATTTTTATTTTTTATGATTTGATTTGTTTAAGTGAAAGAAAAAAAAGTGATGCTACATGTACATAATTATGTGTATACATGGGTTTACACCCCTCACACATGGAGGAGGACCCACATACAATAAATTATGTGCGAACTTTCTCCATGTGGGGGGTGGAGGGGTGGGGGTGTAACTCAAACAGCATTATCCAAGAATAGGGGGGACGAAAAGACTGGCCTGCTTCATGAAACCTGCACCCCTTTACAATATCAAGATCTCATTCGTGTCACGAAAAATTTATTTTTATTGATTGACACTGATTTTTACAATGATCAAATGGCGTTCGGCTTATTCCAGTTGAACTCTTATCTTTTTGATTCAAAGGTGGTCCAATCGGTTAAAGTACGATTATTTTTCTCAATTGGTTAAATCGATACATATGTCATGTACGTGTTGATTGAGTAATAAATCTCCAGGTTATTATTGTATCCCGTAAATAATATTCACGTTTGATCATAAGACCTATTAAAAATCACAATCAAATAGTCTTGAACATCGAGACCTATCCTCATATTTAAATAAAAATTGTACAAGTAAACATGTCGAGACCAAATAATAATAATAATAATAATTTTCACGGCAAAAGATTTTTAAACTAAATTTTTACAACTCACGATTTGATCATCATGATGTGATATGCGTGGGCGTTTCGCTGCCTCGCATTTGAAATATTCGAAACATAATTAATTAGTACTAATTAACGATAAAGACAGAAAGAAAGAAACATAATTAGTTAGTAATTAATGGCCCAGTTTGGTAAACTATACCAGCCTTAGTTAGGGGTAAATTGCACCTGAGGTCACGCAACTTACATGTTTCTTTCATTTTGATCAATAATCTTCAAATTATATCAATTCGATTACCTACATTATACTTTTTGTTCAATTAAACAGCCAATCTATAACTATTACTAAATATAACATAATTTATGATGAATGAGTTCATTGTACGCATCATTTATCATTGTTAAAGACTTACAATTTGGGATGGTAAAATTCCCTACTCCCGTCCTGCATTGCCTTGTCCAAAATGCGGTAGGGATGGACATGGAAAATATGTTCTCCACCCTAAACTCGCCCCAACTCTTATTTTATTTTATATTTAAATTACATAAATAAGTGAATGGGGGCAAGAAACATGGATCAAATCATTTAAAAAATTCTAAACAAAATTTGAGATAAGGAGGATCATTTAGACTCGACTGCCCCATTGTCATCCCAACTCAACTATTAAAATAGAAAACTTGAGATTTGGCAAACACATATTTTATCATTCAAATCACGTCTTGACAAAAAAAACTAGGTGGGTCAAAATTCCTTCGGCCACATTCAAAATTCCTTTTTTTTGACAATATTTACAAAGAAAATGGTTAAATTGAAAGAAAAACATATGTTGTAATCAATTTTTTTTTTATACAAATTGAAATTGGATAACCAACGTTAAACAAGCCTTTAAGTTGGACGACTTCAGTGAAATATTTTCTACCATAATTTTTAATCGACTGCCCCATTGTCATCCCAACTCAACTATTAAAATAGAAAACTTGAGATTTGGCAAACACATATTTTATCATTCAAATCATGTCTTGACAAAAAAAACTAGGTGGGTCAAAATTCCTTCGGCCACATTCAAAATTCCTTTTTTTTGACAATATTTACAAAAAAAATGGTTAAATTGAAAGAAAAACATATGTTGTAATCAATTTTTTTTTATACAAATTGAAATTGGATAACCAACGTTAAACAAGCCTTTAAGTTGGACGACTTCAGTGAAATATTTTCTACCATAATTTTTAATTGAAATTTGCAATTAATTTTGATTGGTTGATGACTCCATTAGTACAAAAATATTAGGTGCAGATTCAAAGAAAAATTTCAATTAATTTTGATTGGTGGAAGATTCAATTAGTACAAAAATATTAGGTGCAGATTCAAAGAATCCTTTAGCATTTTGATGACTTCAGCCTGTTCTTTCGTTGGGATAGAAAAATTTGAATTTTGCCTAGTGCACAGGGCCACTACAGGCCACTCACATGTTACCGTGGGTGGGTTGGTGGGGTGAGTGATTATTTAAAAAAAAAAAAAAAATTCACTCTTAGGGTTGCACAAAAAAATCGCGAAATCGCAAATCGAATCGAAACCTTTGGTTTGGGTTCATGTAGACCCGTGATTTTTTTCCCTCAAACTGAACAAAACAATTTCAAAATGATTTGGTTTAGGTTTTGATTTTCAAAAATCGCATAAAATCGAGCCGAACCGAACCATTTTAAAATTTTATTAACTTTAAAATATTAATTTTATTAACTTTAAAATTTTACAATTTTTACTTTTCAGAAAAAAAAATATCAATTTAGTAATACAAATTACAACTTACCTATTGAAATAATCATAGAAAGTAAATTAGTTTCATCATTATTGGCATATGGTTTAATAAGTTCACAACACATGTCTTTACCTGATATCTAAAATAAGCTAAAATTATTCTAAAATCATATGAAATGAAAAAAAAAAAAACATATATTTTCAACAATCCAAATAATAATTCAACAAAACTACTTCAAAAATCACGTTCAAAGTTTCAGACGCCCTAACATAAGCTCCTGTTTTCCTAACATTTGATGCTTGTTTGCCAGTTGCATTTGTATGTTAGTCTGCTAATTTCTACCTGAATTGCCTCTTTCTCTTCTTTTTTGGTAAGTCTTAAATTCTCATTCAAGCCATTTTTTCGTTATTCTTTCTTTTATTTGTTGTTCTTGAACTTATTATACACTTAAATGAATTGTGGTTTGGATAAAAAAAATAAATATTTGTGTACCTAGATGATTAATGAACTTGTTTGTGATTTTGAAAGAACGAAGGACGGATCGTATTGATCGTGTGAAAATATTATAGTTCCCTAACTAGTACTATTATCTTTTACTTTCATAAAATAGTTAGAGAATGAAATTCTTCCACACAATAAGTCGAAACTCTATCAATCTTTCTACATTTAAGTATATCTTGTTCAATCCTTATGTAACATTTCATTAGCAAGACAAAATGAATTTTAACCAAATTATAACAGCAGAATGTAACTCTACCTTTACCAACCGTTATATGACAATATAAATATCAAACAAGAAAATGTAAATAAAAATGAAGAAATATGTATTTGTTCTATTAACATCTATTAGCAATCAACTTTAAAAATAATTTATTCATGGATTTCATGGTAAATATGAATGCAATTTAACATTTAACATTATTAATTTTCGTTTAAACTTATATGTTAACTTATGTTAAATATATTACTATAACGTCAATAGGTGAACTGCGGATTAAAACTGAACCAAACTGCAAATCATGGTTTGGTTCGGTTCGAAAAATAAAATGGTTTGATT